CACCTGGTGCGTTCTCGGCTTACTGCAATCTCTGCCTCCTGGGTTCAAGCAGTTCTCCTGCCTCAGCCTCCTGAGTAGCTGGGATTACAGGCATGTGCCACCACACCCAGCTAATTTTTGTATTTTTAGTAGAGATGGGGTTTCTCCATGTTGGCCAGGCTGTTCTCAGAACTACTGACCATAAGTGATCCACCCTCCTTGGCCTCCCAAAGTGCTAGGATTGCAGGCATCAGCCACTGCACCCGACTTCTGAGGCCTTACTCCTTTATTTATTTATTTTATTTTTTTTTTTGAGACGGAGTTTCACTCATGCTACCCAGGCTGGAGAGCAATGGCGCGATCTCGGCTCACCGCAACCTCCGCTCCCGGGTTCAGGCAATTCTTCTGCCTCAGCCTCCTGAGTAGCTGGGATTACAGGCACGCGCCACCATGCTCAGCTAATGTTTTGTATTTTTAGTAAAGACGGGGTGTCACCATGTTGACCAGGATGGTCTCGATCTCTTGACCTTGTGATCCACCCGCCTCGGCCTCCCAAAGTGCTGGGATTACAGGCGTGAGCCACCGCGCCTGGCTCCAATTTCTTAAATAAGTAGCCAAGAGAATCAAAGTTCTGATATCCAGATACATTACAGAAAGCAATATTGCATTGACTGTGCAAGGTAATAGGAACCTTTTTATTCATATCTAGAGTAGTCCTTTCTGTAAGTATGCTTACATTCTAAAGTACATATAAAAATAACAGGTAAAAACAAAAACTCAATCCAAAACAAGAACTATTTTGAATCAATTTTATATTTAAACAAAACATGTAACTGTTTCTTTTTTTTGCTAATGTGAAATGCTCTCATGACTTATCTTTAAAAGCAGAGGAAGTAGGACACGTGTATATTCCCAGTAACTTTTCAGAGCACATACACATCAATAAACTATTTCAAAAATAAAGACCAAGAGGAAATGCTAGAATTTTATGTGCTAACAGAAAACACCAGACTGGCTGGATGCGGTAGCTCACCCCTGTAATCCCAGCACTTTGGAAGGCTGAGGCGGGTGGATCACCTGAGGTCAGGAGTTCAATACCAGCCTGGCCAACATGGTGAAACCCTGTCTCTACTAAAAATACAAAAATTAGCTGGGCATGGTGGTGGGCGCCTGTAATTCCAGCTACCTAGGAGGCCGAGGCAGGAGAATTGCTGGAACCTGGGAAGAGGGGGGTGCAGTGAGCCGAGGTAGTACCACTGCACTGCTCAGATCATGTTCGTAAAACTTTAGCTTTCAGTCCTCCCGTCCTGATCTTGATCATATACTGTTAATACTGTTGCTTAAGCATTACTCCTTCAGAGAAGCTTAAGCAACAGTATTAACAGATAATAGTAACAAAATATTGTTATTTTATACAATAATTAAGAACATAAAGAGAATCTTTAACAACGAGGGAATCAAATCAACTGAAAATCAGATAATTCCCACAACTGATACATACTGCTCAATAGTTGAAAAATTCCTCCACATCAAACCTTGTACCATAACTGTTACAGAGAGATAGACTTCATTCTATAGTAGCATGTTTAACATGTAGATTATACAGAAATAGAACATTTTTAGGACAAACAAAAAAAGAGGCGGTGCTTAAAATACAAAGTAGGATTCCTCAGAAAACAAAAGCAAAGACTCCTTGAGAAGATCCTTATCTTTGTCTCCTCCGCTATCTGAGAAGACTCATTTCTGCAGTGAGCTGACAATCCATCTGCACATTAGTGCAGACCACACTCCAACACATAAACTATGGCTTCACTAAGGTAATCAAAGGTCAGTGTCTGCCCACTGACTTATTAGGAAGTCATAAGGAGATGTGAACACTGAACAACCTCCAGCTGAATCCCATGGACCCTTACTGTTACCTGTCATCCACCGTCTCAGTTTTGGATCTCGTTAAAGAGCATGGGTTTAGCAGAAAAGGAATCTGGGTCAACTGCATTCCTTCTCTTAAGCTGTTACTTTGAACAAATTGAGTTTCTCCATCTGAAAAAGTGGCATTCTATTTGGTTGACACAAACTTACTAACCATGATCATCAAAGCACATGCACATAGGAAATAATCAATAAATGTTAATATTTTCCTAGAAGACGGATGGGGGGACAGAAAAGGTAAAGTCAGGGTTTCTTGGCAGTGCAGAGGTTTGTACTGGTGCTTTTAAAAATACAGGGGGTAGGGACCCGGGTGCAGTGGCTCACGCTTGTAATCCCAGCATTTTGGGAGGCTGAGGCAGGCGGATCACCTGAGGTCAGGAGTTCCAGATCAGCCTGACGAAAACGGAGAGACCTGTCTCTACTAAAAACACAAAAGTAGCGGGGCGTGGTAGCCTATGCCTGTAATCCCAGTTACTTGTGAGGCTGAGGCAGGAGAATCACTTGAACCCAGGAGGCGGAGGTTGCAGTGAGCCAAAATCGCGCCATTGCACTCCAGCCTGGGCAACAAGAGCGAAAACTACGTCTCAAAAAA